CCCAGAAGGACTGAAACAGACTAGAAGCTAAAAGGCCACCACGACAGAGCAAAAGAAGGGAAACAAAAAAAAGAATTTCAAACAAAGACTGGAAGCCGTGGAGACTGACACACTAGTGTCAGTGCCCTGCCGCTTCCGAGTCTGAGGTAAGAGGACCCTGAGATCTCACCTGACACCCATCAGAATGGCTAAGATGAAAAACTCAAGAGACAACACATGCTGGAGAGGATGTGGAGAAAGGAAAACCCTCCTCATGCTGGTGGGAATGTAAATTTGTACAACTACTTTGGAAATCAATCTGGCACTTTCTCAGAAAACTGGGAATAGTGCAAACTCAAGATCCAGCTATACCACTCTTAGGCATATATCCAAAGTATATGCTCAAGTATACAACAAGGACATTTGATCAACCATGTTTGTGGCAGCTTTATTCTTAATGGCCAGAATATGGAAACAACCCAAGTGTCCCTCAACTGAGGAACAGATACAGAAATTGTGGTACATTTACACAATGGAATACTACTCAGCAATTAAAAACAAGGAAATTGTGAAATTTGCAGACAAATGGTGAGAACTAGAAAAGATCGTGAATGAGGTATCCCTGAAGCAGAAAGACACACAGGATATATACTCACGTATAAGTGGATATTAGACGTATAATATAGGATAATCATGCTAAAATCTGAACACCTAAAGAAGCTAAGCAAGAAGGAGGACCCTGGGTAAGATGATCAATCCGCACTCAGAAAGGCAAACGGGATGGGCATCAGAAGAGGGAGAAAACAGGAAACAGTACAGGAGCCTACCACAGAGGGCCTCTGAAAGACTCTACCCAGCAGGGTATCAAAGCAAATCCTGAGCCTCATAGCCAAACTTTGGGCAGAGTGCAGGGAATATTATGGAAGAAAGGAAAGATAGAAAGACATGGAGGAGTCAGGAACGCCACAAGGAGAGCAAAAGAACCAAAAAATCTGGGCACAGGGGTCTTTTCTGAGACTGATACTCTAACCAAGAACCATGCATGGAGATAACCTAGGACTCCTGCACAGATGTAGCCCATGTCAGCTCAGTGTCCAAGTGGGTTCCCTAATAAGGGGAACAGGGGCTATCTCTGACATGAACTCAGTGGCTGGCTCTTTGATCACCTCCCCCTGAGGGGGAAGCAGCCTTACCAGGCCACAGAGGAAGACAATGCAGCCAGTCCTGATGACACTTAATAGGCTAGGGTTGGATGGAAAGGGAGGGGGCCCTCCCCTATCAGTAGACTGGAGGAGGGGCATAAGGGGAGAAAAGGGAGGGAGGACAGGATTGGGAGATGTGGAAGGGGGCTATAGCTGGGATATCAAGTGAATAAATTAAAAAAATTTAAAAAGAAGAGGAATGAAAAAGAAATAAAATGATAACAATAAAATCCGTTTCATTCCTACCAGTCCTGTGGAGCCCATGTAGTCAAGTGGGAGTGTAGCATATTCCCTGGTATAAGGAATGGTTTCTATACCAAAGGTTCTTACTGCCAGGCCAGTGTGGTCTTCCGAGTTCCTAGTTTTGACTTCAATGGGCAGGGAAGCAACCCAGAATGGTATCTATGCACATTCCATGACCTCCATAAGACCCACTCAACCTAGTGAAAAGATAATGTCCATCCAATTGCTGAGAAAATTAAGACCTAGCCACAGCTGACCTGTGCTCTCCCTTCCTTTTATTAATACTACACCAGAGAACAACTGCAGACTTTATTCACCTGCCCCTCTACACACACACACACACATCTGGTAACCCTCTTTAGATCAAGACCAGAGCTTCCTCAGGAAAGAGAGTAGGAAGTAGAGCAGTGTGCATGTTTGTGTGTGTGTGTGTTTCTGTGAATGTATGTTTCTGTGAGTGAGTGTGTATGTGTGTTTTGGGGGGTGAACAGCATGAGGCAAATTCTGTGTAACTGTAGCAGCTGGTATGACATCAGTTTCAGATGCTTCCTGGATTCCTGACTATGTCAGAGATGGGACACAGTATGCTTGCTTAATCCTAACTATTTGTTTAGAACCTACTATGTCCTGGTCCTTGTGACCAATAAGAAAGGCAGAGACAGAAAAGACACCAAGACCAGAGGTGAGAAGGATACAGATGCAGCAGAATCATGAACAAGCATATGCCTTAGGATAAAAGGTCACTGTAAAATGGGGTGAAAATGAGTAAGAAGTGTGTAGTATGGGCGTGTCATCTAGATAAGTATTTCTGAGGTCTATAATTTTAACGAGGGGTCATGAGCTAGAAAAGATGATAAAGGACACAAGGACTCAGCTTGTGGATATATGAGGAAAAGCTGGGCAGGTAGAGGTAATGGCTGGTCCCCAGGTCCCAGGAGCTCAGTCAGTACAGAGAAGGAATAGCATGGAGGCCACAGTGGCTAGAGCAAGGTAGACAGAGCAAGATAATAGGAGACATTTGAGGTCCTAGAGGAACACAAGTGGGTTGGAAGGAGCAACTCAGTGGGGCCAAGAAGACCCAGTGCAGGTCTCCAGCTGTTCCTGAGGGTGTGCCAACAAAAGGCTATACACAGCATTGGGAAAAATGGCTCAGTGGTCAAGAGCACTGACTGTTCTTCCAAGGATCACGGTATGATTCCCAGCACTCACACACACCCAATCCAAGTGTAATTCCAGTTCCAGGGGATCTAATACCCTCTTCTGGCCTACAAGGATACATACATGTAGACAAAACACTCATACATAGAAAAACAAATGTCAAAAGAAGAAGACTCAAAGCAATGGAGACTGACACACCAATGTCAAGGCTCACAGCGGCTGCCCTCTGCTTCAGGGTCTGGGATGAGGGCACTAGGAAGCAGTTGTGAGCGGCCTGCTGGGGGCTTAGGCACTAATCATCTGAAACTGGGGAAAAGGCAATGAGAAGGGCTGAGACATAGGAGTAGTGAGAACAGTACCCAAAGTACTCTTCACAAGCTAGAGGGGACTAGAGATAGGGCAAGGAAGCCTGCTGACTAGAGGGCATAAGAGTGGCGCTTGAGAATCCGGTCTAAGACCCGCTGGCTCTCAGACGACTGTGAGGCCCAAGAAGAAAAGATGGCAAGCAGGACACCAGTGAGAGCAGGGATGCTGAGAGAGCGATGCTGACTGAGGTACAGAGTCTGCCTTCAGCTTCTCCAGAGCCTCAGAGAACTTCACTTGACAGGTGGAAAGGCTTTTGACCATTCCGACAAAAATCAAAGCACAAACTACATATAAGCCAAGTCAGTCGCAAGCACTGCAGGTAAAAACCACGTCACTCAGATAGCCACGCCTACCTAGGCAGTCTCCTCCAGGACACCTGGAATGATTCTGGACCACTCAAGTCAGTTGTGAAAGGAGAGGAGAGGACTCCTACGAGGCCAAGTGTCCACCTTCTGCACCAAGCTCAAGGGCACGGGCAGTGCTCACCTTCTCGATGTCCACCAGCTCAGTCTCATAGATCTCAGCAATGGTGATGTGGTGCTTGGCCGCGATTGTAAACCTTCCCTAGGGGAGAAAACAAAGTTAGACACCCGCTTTACCCGCTTGGACACCAATTGGTTTGGGAGAAGGAAAGAAATATAACTCTAAAGCAGCTCAAGGACTCCACCCCACAGCCATTCAAGCAATGCAATGTCTTACCATGTCTGTGTAAATGTCGATGGCTGCATTTAAGCAGTTGATAGCCTCTGAAGCGTGGGCATTTAAAAAAACAATGAAAAATTCATTCAGTCAAAGAGGGTTCAGCTGAGCCTGATTCCTGGCTGCTATTGATGGTAAGGGAGTACAATTTGGGATGAAGGGTGGGCAGGCTGGTTAGTAGGAGCAAACACAATCATGCACAGTCCAGATTCATTAGTGTGGAGTTGTTCCTAGCAGCTGCACTGGTATTTAAAGCAGTGTGGCTGCAGTAATCCTGGCTCTGTGACAGTTAGGGGGTCCATCCAGGTGGCACTGTACCACAAATGAAGCAAGACCACAGGGACTGCCACCAACATTGATAAATCACACCTGCTAGTACAAGGTAAATGCAGTCTTCATTAATATCACCTGTGTCTATACTTTGCAAACTATCACTTCTTCACAAGAAAAAAACCATTTCAACAGTCTCTACTCTTTAGGCAGTCAACATCTAAAGTACTTTAAAATGCTTAGTCAACTCTTAAATGTATAAATGTGTATATAGCTCAAAGTATGACTTTTGGTATAATAACATAACAAAATGGTATTGGTGTTCCATGTAACGAAGGGAAAACTTTACAATGCCAATAAATTATATCTGTTTCCTAAAACAGTGAGGCAGAAAGTTTCCTATCACAGAACGGTGTGACTGAGAGCACCAAGTTTGCTTTCAGTTTAAAAGAGGTAACAAGGAGGCAAAGCTTAACTGGAGAAATAGAAATGTGACTGGAACAACAAAAATGAAGAGTCCTCCCTACAGTGAATTTTAAAAGGGATGTTCACTGTTACAGCTTACAGATTATAGGAAATCAGACAGCGCTTATCTATTACACTACTCAGGCCCAGCGTTCCCACTTCAGCACACTAATTTCCAGTGTTCTGGATGAGTTTCCACAGTCACAAACGTTTTTATCAGAAACCACACCACTCAGCTCCTTAATTTAATTAGCACATGAGCATTTACCAGGTCAACCAACATTCTATGAAATCCAGCACTTTGGTTTCTGAGGTAGGGTCTCATTACATAAAACCCAGGCTTGTCTGCAACTCCCAAGCCTCAAGGCTCAGTCTCCCAAGTGCTGCGATCACAGCTGTTTGTCACCACAACCAGCTCCAAATCAGGGACTTGGATGCCTATGAGACTGTTTATATTATGAAGGCATTGTCAATCTACTGTGCTACCCATTTTGCTCATACCTGATGTGCTCAGTTTCTCACTTTGGAAATGAAAATATGATTCATCTTTATATAAAAAAGCTTGATGACATTTTTCCTTGGGATAAATTCCTAGAAGTTTAGATTTGTGTGTTAAACAAAATAGACTATAAAAGAAATGAAGACTCAAAGACAAGCACCTATGTGTATGGAATTTTAATACTTTAATACTTCTCAAAAAAGACATAACATTTGCAAAGTTTAACTAATTTAATGTCAGATAGTCTCGCCTCAAAAACAAAATGCTTTGAAAAACACTTAGAAAAACAATGAAAAATGTGTTGTGTTAGACACCTTTTAGACACTGGATGCTCCACTCTCTCACTAAGGGAAACACATCTTGGGGGGCAAGAACATATTTCATGAACTTGAGATAAGGTGCCTGTAATCTCAGTCCATGGGAAGTAGAGGAAGGAGAGCACAGAGCTGTGAGTTTGAGGCCTGCTTTAGCTATAGGATAAATACTGTCTCAATTGTCCCTCAACACCTCCAAACTGATGTCTTTATGATTAAGACCATTTTCTTAACCAAATTTTCATTTTTTTTTAAACTAAAATTTCTTTTAAAAAAAAATCTCATAATGCAAGAATTCTTACTACCAGGCATGGCACACCAACCTCAACACCACAGGAATGCTGCCGGCCAGTCACACAGAGTCACCAGTGGCCTTACCTTGAGGGTCTGCCTTCTTGTAAGCATTTCCAGCATCCACAAAGCTGGTAGCAGAGTCATGTTTGCTCTGAAGCTGCATGTGGAGCTTGGCGGCTTGACAAAATGCATTTCCTGCAGCTGAAGAAGATGCCACAGTTAAATAGTGAAAAAAACAGCCTTCCCAAAGAAAAGTCCAGGCCTCACCTGGAAAAGGTACAGGTTTCTAAAAGGAAGCCCTCCAGCCAGGGACCACATGCACAGAGACAAGTGCTTCTGGGTGTTGTTCTCTTTTTCTGGACAGTTCCAGAGTGCCTGTCAAGCATCCTGGACACTGAGCCTCCTTTCTCTGGCCCAGCACTCAGTCTCCTGAACTCTGTCCCATATCATAAGATCAACCCAACAAGGGGTATCTGGCCTCACACAGTTAAAGAAAGGCAAAGTACTATATCCAAGGGTGTTCAGCTACTTATTTCTCAATCCCGGTATTCATGGCATTCAAGTGTCATTGAATCTGTTCCACTAAGAAAAACATGACTTAGAATAGCACAGAACCTTCGGGTTTAAAATACTTGGGGGAAAGATGTGGTTGGCTAAGATAAGATCTTGTGCTCCCTGAAGCTGAACCCACAATCCTCTCATGCCGCAGCCTCCACATGTCAGGACTACTGGCATGTGCTACCACACCAGCTCCTTTGGGCTACCTCTATCACCAAGGCAACAGCTGGTGCTGGTTTCACATTTTCACGCCACCACTCTATCACTTGAAGCACACATTCTGGTCACTGCTAACAGGGGCACCCTGGTCTCTTTCCACCTGGAAGTGTCTTTAAAGGAGAATGGCCTCTGCAAAGTTACCCAACTTGTCATTCTTAATCTAATGGTGGCTGAAAAGCATTAGCTTAATCATTATAAAAGAACTTTTAAAATTATGAAGTGACAAAATGGTGTCACAATCACCACCAGCGCACTGCTGCTTTAACTTCAGAGCTTTGTATTTACTCAACTAACAAATAATAGACTGAATACTACCACATCAGAGACATGATGTAGACCCTGGAGATGTAGTCAGAATGCAAACACATAAACACTCTGACCTTCCAAGGTACATGCTAGTGAGGGCCACCGTGTGATGAAACCTGTAAATTGGATATAAATACCTAAAACACCATGTAACTTACATATTGTTGCTAGGTGGAAATGTGGGCAGTGGGGAAGAGTAGAGTTTCCAGAAATTATTGTTTATAAGCGGTAGTCAAAAGAGAGCTGGCTGAGAAGATAACATTTGAAGATGGACCAGAATAAAGCAGCAAACGAGGGCAACCGTATGCAGACAGGGTTAACAGCACATGCCAAGGCTTGGGGGTGGGAGCCAGGAGCACGAGCATGAGCAGATGAGGTCAGGGAAAGGAAGAAGACAGTCCTGAGAGGTCAGTGTACAGATCCAATGTATGACCTGACTTATTCAGCCTAGGTAAGACTGACTGGGAGCTGAGCGTGGTGACACATGACTACTATCCTATCACCTGAGGGACTGAAGCAGGAAGATGAGCTTATGAATTCCAGAACAGCCTGGGCAACACCGTCCTTGAGACGTTGTCTCAAGACAAAACTGAGAAAGGGCAGAAGATGGGGAAGCTGGGGGGACTGGCTGGAGACCCCCATCCTGGCAACAGATAGAGGCAGGGTACATAGAAGGCCTCCACAGGTAGACATAGGAGAAGGGTTTCCAAGTGAATTTCCCAGGATCCGACCTTCAGAAAAAAACAGGTAAGCACTCCTCGGTAAGATCACTTTTCACCTGTGATTACAGGACTTGAATAGAAAAGATGGGCTGCTGGGACGAATTTTGTTTATCTTCCATTTGTACACCAGTAGAATACAAGGTGGGCATAAGAGCTTTTGAAGCCCTTCCATCTCCCTTTTAACTAAAGCTCTACTGCAAACTAAGCTGACGAAGGACCCTGTCACTATTTGAGCGATAGAAGTCCCTTTGTCCAAGAGAAGAAGATGTATTTCTCTCTTCAATTAGTGTAAGCAAGAGCAATCCCCTCAGATAGGGAGAAGAAAAATCCTACTGACCTGCTCCCTGTGGGGGCTTACATTAAAGAATGTGCTCGCTAATGGAGAGATCTCCTACTGTCACTCAGTTCTCAGTGGATTCAGAACAGAGAATGCTTTGAAATTCTCAACTTACACTAAGGCATTTCTATCTATCTTGTTAGCTCTCAATGACTTTTCCTATATTTCTGGCATTGTATTTACTGGAATATAACTCTAAGAAGCAAAACCTTACTACTTACCCTCCTACTCCATGAAATTCTTGCTTTCAGATACCATTAGCCTACTACGCTGGGTGGCTTCAGAAACCGAGGCAGACATTGTCCCAGTGCTCAACCTTGAAACCAGGTCGGTTACCTGAGATGAGGATCTTTTCAGCACCAATGCCTGTCTCACTCTTTAAAGGGAATACATAGTCCTGTCTTCCTACAAAATTGTTTTTAAAAGTATTTGGCTGGTAAGTAAACACAATGTTGTACGTACCACTCCAGTTCTTGGCCATCTTGAACATATTTGCGGCTCTGGTATACATTTCACATGCCTCTTCTATTCTTGTGTTTCCACTAAGAGAAATTTAAACACAAGGTCATGCTAAAATTATTTTTATAAAACTGTGTTTGTTTCTCAGTTTGTCTCTTAACCCAGCTATCATAAAACAATTGAGACTCTTTCATATTTGTTTAATAATACGCTTTACAGCACAATAATTGAACAGTTATTACTCTATTCTTAACCCTCTGAGCTAATTTAGCTTTCTCCCAGCTTACATCCCAAAGATATTTGCATTTTGTAGCTTTACCCATTCAAGCTCCTTCTCCTGATCTCTCTTGGACCTGTCCCATGGCTGAATCCCCTACTGCTAACTCCCTCCACCCTTGCCCCCCCAGCTGACAGGAACTTCAGCCCTATTCTCTCCCCTGTTCAGTGACTGGCTCTAAGCTGCTTTACTGGCATATCAGGGGATAACTGGAGCAATGTTTATATAACACTGAAATAGGAGATTCTCAAAACAAGGCTTATACCCAGATATGGGGGGGGGGGGGTTAAGAGAAATCAGCATTTGAATTACACAATAACCTTATTCCTACAATGTTACACTTCTGTTCTTATTAACAAACATCCACATCCCTCCTCCTTCACTGAATCAATAACAAGATTATTTTATTATGTATTATATAATTGTTATTATATTTTAACCCTGAAATACTCAATGATCTCTTCTGTGCATGAGATAAACTACAGAATCTTAACAGCTGTTCAAAAAGACAGATACGCTTTGTGGTGGTTTGAATAGATATGGCCCCCACAGACTCACGTGTTTGCATGACTGGCCCAAGGGGAGTGGCACTAGTAGGAGAGGTGGCCTTGCTGGAGGAAGTGTGTCACTGTGAAAGCAAGCTTTCAGACCTCTGCTCAAGCTCCATGTGCCATGGAACACAGTACCCTTCGGCTGCCTTTGGATCAAGATGTAGATTTCTTGGCTCCTCCGGTACCATGTCTGCCTGCATGCTGGCACGCTTCCCTCCATGATAATAATGGACTAAGGCATTGAAACTGTAAGCCAGCCCCAATGAAATGTTTTCTTTTATAAGTGTTTCCCTGGTCATGGTGTCTATTCACAGCAATGGAAACCCAAAGTAAGATACTCTTCCTGATTCCAAATTCTAGATGAGGAGGCTGGGGAATGCAGTGCTAAAGTTACTGCCACACAACAGATACCATAAAAATGACACTCAGTCAAAGATCTGAAGAATCCAAGTCTGCCACTGTAACTACAGAGTTCTAGTTAGAACTATTTTAACAAATACAAGTTTTGGGGCTCAATGCTTAAGAACACCTGTTCTTGCAGAAGACGTGGGTTCAATTCCTATCACTTATATGGAGGCTCACAACCATTTGTAACAAGTTCCGGGAGGATCTGATACCCTCTTCTGACCTCCATGAGCAGCAGGCATGCATGTGGTACCCATACATACAAGTAGGCAAAACACTCATACAAATAAAATTAAACCTATCTGAAAAAAATTTAAATGCCAGTTTTGTATCAGGCAGGGTAAAGTGTATTTCTCAAACAAGATTACAGTTTAAAGGGTAAAGATACTTTATCTTGCCATTCATTAACAGTTTAGCACAATACCTAAAACCTAGATGTCGTGGCTCAGGCTGATAACCCCTACATTGGAGTGACAAAGCTAAGAGGACGGTGAGTTCCAGGGCAGCCTGAGATCAATGGTGAGACTTCCTCTCAAAAGCAACCTTAAAGTCACCCCAGCCAAAACAAACAAACAAACAAACAAAAAAAACCAAAAAACAGAACAACAAAATCCAGAAACCACAGCACTGAGCAAGTGACACATTATTTGTTGCTCTTCCATTGTGTGGTTTATCAGCTCTGGCATGGGCCAGCCTGTCTAAAACATGGAGAACCTTAGAGCCCCACCTTCACCGGGTATAGAAAAGCATCGTGTAACATCTTGAGAAGAGGATACTCCACAGTACCTAGAATACATGTTCTCCACTAGGTACCTAATTTTACTGGTGGATAGTTTAATTTTTATTTATTTTTAATTATAAAAATTATTCTATGTGTGTGTATATTGTTTGCATGTGTGTTTGTACACCTAGGTATGTACAAGAGTGCACAAAGCACAGAAGGGGCATCAGAACTCCTAGAGCTGCAGTTACAGATGGTTCTGAGCCACCATGTGAATGCTAGACTAGAACCAGGTCCTTTGAAAGAGCTAACACTCGTAAGCACTGAGCTATCTCTCCAGCCTCTAAAAGACAGCTTTATACAATCAGCAATTTCTTCACACATAAAGCCAAATTAATCTTTGGTGTTCATGTTTTAGAGTTTGTAAACTCAACTCTGCTTCTAATTAACACAGGCCCTTGCACACAAGACATTTGTCTATCCTGTCTGTCTACACTGTAAATATAAAACCAAGGCCCAAGTGACTCTGACTGTGCCACACATACTATGAGAACCTCAGAATGGAGTGTAGAAACAGACTTGCCAACAAGAGAACATGAAGGAAGACAAGCATGTGTCCAGTGAGCTTGGGTAGGTCTGATCAGTGACTTGCACAGCTAAAGCAAGCCTTTGAGGGGTAGGGTCATTCCCCTTTGCTCTTCTACCAAGCAAGTGGGCAGCATTTGTCCTCCCTACAGGCTTCCACCATGTGAGGATAGTAAAGGCTCACAGAAGATGCCAGTATCTTGACTTTGACTCTCCAGAACTGAAAAATATACTCTTGTTCTTTCTCCAAACTACTCAGTCTCAGGTGTTCTGTTGTGATATCACAAACTAGACTTAAGACATCTAGATCCCTGATCTCAAACTGTACTACAGAGCAATAGTAATAAAAACTGCATGGTATTGGCATAGAAATAGAATGGTGGATCAATGGAACCAAACAGAAGACCCGGAAATGAGCCCACACACCTACGGATACTTGAATTTTGACAAAGAAGCCAAAACCATACAATGGAAAAAGACAGCATTTTCAACAAATGGTGCTGGTCTAACTGGATGTCTACATGTAGAAAATGCAAATAGATCCATACTTATTACCCTGTACAAAACTAAAGTCTAAGTGGATCAAAGACCTCAATATAAAACCAGACACACTAAACCTGTCAGAAGAAAAAGTGGGGAAGAGCCTAGAGCTCACTGGCATAGGAGAGAACTTCCTGAACAGAACACCAACAGCACAGGCTCTAAGAGCAACAATCAATATGGGACCTCATGAAACTGAAAAGCTTCTGTAAAGCAAAGGACACCATTATTAAAACAAAACGACTGCCTACAGATTGGGAAAGAATCTTCACCAACCCTTTATCTGACAGAGGGCTAATATCCAGTATATATAAAGAACTAAAGAAGCTGAAAAGCAGCAAACCAAGTAATCCAATTAAAAAACGGGGAACAGAGCTAAACAGAGAACTCTCTGTAGAGGAATACTGAATGGCAGAGAAACACTTAAAGAAATACTCAAACGTCATTAGCCATTAGGGAAATGCAAATCAAAACGACCCTAAGATTTCACCTTACACCCATCAGAATGGCCAAGATGAAAAACTCAAGTGACAACACATGCTAGAGAGGTTGTGGAGAAAGGGGAACCCTCCTCCTCTGCTGGTGGGAATGTAAACTTGTACAACCACTCTGGAAATCAATCTGGCGCTTTCTCAGACAACTAGGAACAGTGCTTCCTCAAGATCCAGCCATACCACTCCTAGGCATATATCCAAAAGAGGCTCAAGTACACAATAAGGACATTTGCTCACACAATAAGGACATTTGTTCAACCATGTTTGTAGCAGCTTTATTTGTAATATCCAGAAGCTGGAAACAGCCCAGATGCCCCTCAACTGAAGAATGGATGCAGAAATTGTGGTACATCTACATAATGGAATACTACTCAGCAATTAAAGACAAGGAAATTGTGAAATTTGTAGACAAATGGTGAGAACTAGAAAAGATCATCATGAATGAGGCATACCAGAAGCAGAAAGACACACAGGGTATATACTCACTTATAAGTAGATATTAGACATATAATATAGGATAATCATACTAAAATCTGAACACCTAAAGAAGCTAAGCAAGAAGGAGGACCCTGGGTAAGATGATCAATCCGCACTCAGAAAGGCAAACGGGATGGGCATCGGAAGAGGGAGAAAATAGGAAACAGGAGAGGAGCCTACCACAGAGGACCTCTGAAAGACTCTACCCAGCAGTATATCAAAGGAGATGCTGAGGCTCATAGTAACTTTGGACAGAGTGCAGGGAATCTTATGGAAGAAGGGAAAGATAGAAAGATGTGGGGGGACAGGAGCTCCACAAGAAAAACAACAGAACCAAGAAATCTGGGCACAGGGGTCTTTTCTGAGACTGATACTCTAACCAAGAACCATGCATGGAGATAACCTAGGACCCCTGCACAGATGTAACCCATGTCAGCTCAGTGTCCAAGTGGGTTTCCTAGTAAGGGGAACAGGGGCTGTCTCTGACATGAACTCAGTGGCTGGCTCTTTGATCACCTCCCTCTGAGGGGGAAGCAGCCTTACCAGGCCACAGAGGAAGACAATGCAGCCAGTCCTGATAAGACCTGATAGGCTAGGGTCAGATGGAAGGGGAGGAGGACTTCCGTATCAGTGGACTTGGAGAGGGGCATGGGAGGAGATGAGGGAGAGAAGGTGGGAATGGGAGGGAATGAAGAAGGGGCTACCACTGGGATACAAAGTGAATAAATATAAAAAATTAATTGATATTCAAAAATTAAAATTATAATTATAAAAAGGAAAAAAGAAAAGAAAACTCATAACATGTTACTTCCCAATATAGGAAAAAAAAAGAAATTAAAAAAAAAAGAGTGTTGGGGAAAGCAGGAAGGGGTGTCACAGGCAAAGGGTGTGTTGTTGGTTCATTGGGGGTGGTCATTGTCATGGTTATACAGCTCTAATATGAAAACAGTTTTAGAAATCAGTGAATATACAGGTAAATTATTTGGTAGGTGAACTACATCTCAATAAAATTACTACTGCTGGCTGCCAAATA